AATTTTTTTAAAAATATAAATTTTATTATCTATACTACATATTACGCATATACTTAATAAATGGATTTTAAAAAAAGACTTAAGCAAATTTTTTAACAAACAGATTTATTTTTACATTTATAGTTTATTTTTAATTTTATTTTTGCGCTTAAAAAAATAGAAATTCAATGACAGTGTATTGAGAGGAACTATTTAATCTGATAAATTATGATAGCATCATTGAATGATCACAACTTTAATTTTTCATAACATATAAAGTTATATAAATGTATATTGGAAAGTTGAATTTTTATAAAATAGTTATCATGCAAGATTGAGAGTATATTTGTAGAGATGTAAAGATAACTTTTTATAAAGTGTTTTTCATAACAGATGAGTTACATGATTGTTTATGGAAAGTAGAGTTTTTATAAAATAGTTATAGAGAAGTAGAGATAACTTTTATAAAGTGTTAGCTAGAAATGAAGCTCTATTCCTTGCTCTTGCAGGTTTACCTGTAAAACCTCCAGAATTCATGGTTAAGAAAAAGTCACAGGATAGATGCAGTGTCTACAATAGTATTTCGGTCTCAGACTCAGAAGGATCAGATTATGAATGGACGCCAGCTGTAGAAAAAGCAGCTGTAACTTCAGGTAAAATCAGTAAAAATATTCATTCATTGCATTTAGTTATCTTGCCCAAACTGGTACTTGAGGCAAGATTAAGGATTGCAATTTTTTTATTATTGGCCAATTTTGAGAGGTTTCTTTTCTGCAGACTGCTCTCAGTTGTTGCGTGCCAGATTTCTTTTTGCATTCAACCTTTTTGTTTGCTCTAGGCTATCCAACTTAGTTCTGGCAGTTTAAAACAGAGCAAACTAGATTTTTTGCTCTCATTGTCATCTCAGTTGCATTAAAATGAGAAATACTATTGACCCCAAATTTAACATCTTTTATAAAAAATTGAAAAATACTTATTTAGGAAGCCGAGTTCTTAATTTTTTAAAATTATTTTTTTAACCCTTATTAAGCAGAAATTATAAATCTATTAACTAAAATTGGATTACTTTATGTTTTCTCTACATTTGAATTTTAACAAAACATTTTATTAAATTTTATTGCATGTTTTGGAAGGTACAAGAAAAAAACAGGTCACCTCTTGGAAAATTCCAGAAGATAAAGTTGACTCCACTAAAAGCAAAGCAGGGAAGTCAAAAAAAGGGAAAAAGGTTAGATTTGAAATATTTTTGTATTATAATAAATTGCAAAAAAAGGTATTTAAAATTAATGTTTACCAGAGATAAAACATGCTTCAATCTTAAAGTTAAAAATTATTTAAACAGTTGTTAGGTTAAAATTTGTTGACATATTTTACAATCTTTCAGCATCAAATTTAAACTTCATGCTTGAATTTGGTAATGAAATCTGATGTCAATGAATGTAGAATACTTATTCAATTTATTTAATGAACTATTAGTTCTTATTAAAACAAAAATCTGCTAGTTCAAGAAAAAGGTCAAGGTTAACGAGAAAGAAGTGGAGAATTTGGAGGAAATCCATATATATCCATTGAGGAAGAAAAGAATAACAAATTTTATGTCTCTAGCCATTCCTGAAGATGAGGATTTCTTTTGTAAGTATTGGAGTTGAAATGTCTATAGGCTTATTCTATTTTTTAATTTTAAAAAGACTTTATCTTTAAGTTTCAAGCTACTAGTTTTTTATTTATTATATTGATTGAACTAAACAAATTTATAATATTAATAACATTATTATTAATTGCCATTTAAATATGAAATTTAGTATGTTTCAAAATTATTATTAATATTATGGACAATAATTTTACTCTATAGTCTTTCCTGCTCACACTTTTATAGTTTGAAAGCTTTTAGTATGATTCAAAAGTAAGAAAGTATAGAGATCACATAAGTGTAGACATAGTGGTAGTTCTTTGTCATGTTCTTCACCCATAAAATTTATTGTAGTAATTGCCATTGGGAAACACATATTGAGGTCACCACAACATGAGGAACTGTATGAAAGGTTCGCGACATAAGGAATATTGATAACCACTGCTTTAGAGAGTTATTTATTCCTAAAGTCTTTTAATCTCAACTTTGGGGCAGGCTATGGTATGTTGGTTGGATGAAGTTGAGCTTGAATTAAGGTATTACTATTATATTAATGTAATAATTTCTTGTTACAGTTTGTGAAGAGTGCAATTTTGAGTACATGTCGGAGTGCCCATTACATGGCCTTGTTCCAGTTGAAGATAAAAAAGTAAGAATTGAATAATTTTATATTTTAGTGTCTTTAGTCTACTCAAAATATTTAGTTCCATGTTTAGAGCAAATCAAATGCATTAGACTTTCATTAAATTTTGGATCTTCATCAAATTCTTTCAAATTAAAAAAAAACAACTCTAAACACTAATTATCTATAAATAATCTCTAAACTTAAAGCAGTGTGATAGCAATTATATTGATTACAATAGAAAAGATTAATTATTGAAAGTCCAATTAAATACATCTTAATCTTATATTATTATTATTGGTCAGGATCATGAAAAGAAAGTTGTTTCACTAATTTCACCACACCCCCCCCCCCCCCCCCACCAAAAAAAAAAAAAAAAAAAAAAATTATTGTTATTAAAAAACAAAGTACACATTTAAGGGGTTTAGGCTAATGTTTATATCAATGCAACAAATACAAAATTTGAATGAATTTAAACTTCATTTGCATAATAAAAGTTCATTTACTACCGGGTACCTACTAAGTTAATGGAAAGAAGGGGAAAAGGTAAGCATAAGTCATTGATAAAACTTGAGAAGAAAAGAAAAGAAAGGATATGGGGAAAAGCACAGTTTAAAACATAATTTTAACAATATTTAAGCTATTTTTATGGTGTGAATTTGACTTACTTACCTATTTTTTAAACTAATTAGAGGAGGCCACTTGCAAAACCGGTTTAGTCACTATTTTACAAAAATAAGTTATCCATTATGCCTGGTTTATTAAGTGTCATTCTACAGAATGTTATGTATTTTAACGAATCAAAAACTTCCTTTAAGGTCAAGTCTAAAATGTCTCCATAACAAAAATATAAATGCTATATAATTTGCTTTATATAGTTAATTTACAAAACCAAAATTTTCTCAAAATCAATTAGAAGTTACATAGCAGTTTTTGTGCCCATGTGATGATGATGATTGATTACTGTATAGAGCTTGTGTCCATGCTATTTTAGAATGCTCATAAAATCTGTTTAAAGGAAAAAGTCTTTGACCATTTCTTAGATGATTTTTTATCATTTTTAATTTCCATCAAAGTCAAAGATTGAGGCAAACTGTTTCATAATTTAGGAGCTATAGTTTCAAAAGAACGCACTCTCTGTAAGACTTCTTTTTGTGTCATCCACACTGGGAACTCTCAGAAGTGACTGTGATGAGAAGTGCAGGTTCTTAAAGATTACAAGTTTGGAATTAAGTTCTTTTAGATGGTCAGGTGCAGAACTTTCCACACAGCTGTACGCCAGGGTCAGATTTTGGTGGTCAATGCGCTCACTCACAGGAACCCAGTGGTGATCTCTAAGATCTGGCGTGATGTGGTCAGATGTGTGCTTAAGAGCATGGAGATAGCTTCTGACAAGCATGTCTCTAAGATTCCTGTCCCACTGTAATGTGAAAAGGGCTCTTTTAAAAATTTATGTTTGTTAACAGGTTTTGGGGATAAATATCTACAATTAATTTTGCTCTTTCACTAATGTATTTATAAATGCTAATATACTAAGTAATGATGCAAACACACTTCCATGGCTCTTCATTTTATTGCCCTGGAAATAGAGGTTTTGAGTGAAATTTTAATTATAAGATTATTGAACACCAAAGGAATAAATAAAAGACAACTTTTGTAGAGCAGGCATATTATTTCACATTCTGAAAGGCCTTTTTTAAAGCCATCTATGTGTTGTAGAGAGAAAATAAAGGTTTAATGGACCTAGAATTTGGCAAATTACTGTCTTTTACAAACTGTAGCTCAAGTACAGAATTAATGTGCTATTTTTAAATCGTGGTCAACAAATTAGTACAACATCATTGCCCAGATCACCATTGAATTAAATCAAACAAAGTATTGTTTTTCTTATACTTTTTTACGACCTGAACTTAATCCATGCAGTACATAAAAACAGCTGTATCATTATCTTTTTTCTACTTCACCTGAAAAATAAAACGTCCTAATGAAGCAAGTTTTTTCTATGATTAAAAAAAACTTCTTTCTTTAACTAGCTCAGATGCCAGCAGTTTGCATTGTAAGAATACAAATTATCCAAAACAATTTTATTTTATGTGATAGAAACAGCTGTCAGCCTGTTACTCTGGGGGTCATCCATAAAAGACGTCCATACAAAAGGGGGGAGGGGGGTTCAGCAAAAAGTGGACAAAGGGGGGCAGGGGGTTTAGAACAAAGTGGATGTCCACATTGTAGTGTTTTTTTGAGTGCAGCAGTTTTGCATAAATTTGCTGCCGGATCACAGTTACAGTAGCATGCCTTTTGATCCCTATTGTCCATCGGTGGCTGGGAGAATTTCCAAGAGAATATGTTTCTGCGGTAAATATTTCCCATCACAGGCGGCAATGAAAAAACATAAGGTCGTCCATTGCAATATTCCTGCTAGTGAACATAATATGGCAGACGAATCAGACGAAGAGACTGCCACTCAAATTGAATTAGCAATTGAAGACTCAAGAACAGATGTTGTCATTATACGAAACATGTTTGAATGGCTGCAGTCCGAATTTTCCGTTGATTGAAGAATGGTGGATTATTTGTTTATTACATTTTTTAATACAGTGATTCAATAAAATGTTTTTGAACAGTTATTATTTCATTTAGAATTTTGCCTGCAAATAATTGGAATTTCTAAAAAAAATCTTTGTAAATACATACTCTTTATATTGTTGTACATTTTCCCAAAATATTCATTAATTTAAGTTCGGTANATACACTCTTTAAAATGATTAGGTCCCCACAGAGTGTGAGAAAGGTTTGGACTCAAGCTACTGTTGGAAAACTTTGCCCCAAGGACTTGCCATTAAGACATCAAAAATCCAAGGTGCTGGTCTTGGAGTTGTAGCAACTAAATTTTTTCCAGCTCGAACCAGATTTGGACCATATGTTGGAAAGAAAGAGAAAAATGAAGAAGTCGCCCATGAGTCTGGCTATAGTTGGCAAGTAAGTCATGGTTAGGATGCTACAAATGTTTCTAATTTTAAGTCAAATTTAGAATTCCTAAATAATATAATAAACTTGATTTATTTGTGGCATACAACATGGCAAAATTTTTAATAATATATAACTGATAGATGCAGCTATTAACATGTCCAGTCACATGCAAATGCAAAGAGCTGCTGCATTGTACACCACAGAAAAGTTCCCATGATCCTAAATGAGTGTATATTTATAGCTCATCAATACCGATTGAAAGAATGACAAGTAATGGTAACCACCACTCACTTGAAGTTCTGAAAACTTAAGGACTGAAAGGATGGCAAATATTAACCTTTAGGAGATGAAAGGGCTGAACTACAGGCCTAAGAGTCAAATGGCAAAAAAGACAAATTGCTGATCTGTCTCCCCGATAAAACAAGCCTTAAGATTGGCTAGCGGGCCTTTGTACCAGCTAATCAGATTGCTTCTTGCAGTTCTTGTAAATCCTGACATTTTAATGGTGGCTTCTTCTTCTTCTATATCTTAAGGGCCCTATGCATGTACATGGGATTTGCAATGTTTCTGTTCCAGCTTTCATTGATTGTTGACTAGATTCTGTTGTTTACGTGGATGCTTTTGTGTGTTGCAAGTAGTATCGTAAAAGTCCAACAATGACACTGATCAAAGTATCTTTTGTGATTCCGATATTTCCTTTCCTAGCTGTGAATATGAAGCTCAAACCAATGAAAACAACCAGGAAAGGGATTAAAAAGATGAAAATGATGATGGTGGATTTTAATTTTCTTGATCCTTACCTGGTTTAGGATTAGGGAATCCTATGAATTCTTCAAAGATATTTGGCCTGTAAATATGTAAGGAAACATGAGCATCCCAGTGCAGTACTTTATTCTATATTTTTACTTTAAAGATCATTCAAATGTTTGCAAGATAACCCAAAAATCTATACTGACATCATTCTAAGTCATTCAGCTCAAGAAAAAGTCCCTAGATCAAAATGGCTGCCTGTTAACAGTGTGTGAAATGAAGGCATTTATTTCCATGATTTTAAAACTGGGTTTGATCCATAAACCAACAGTTAAGTCCTACTGGAGTGCTTAAGTCCTACTGGAGTGCTTAAGTCCTACTGGAGTGCTTAAGTCCTACTGGAGTGCTTAAGTCCTACTGGAGTACTTAAGTCCTACTGGAGTACTTAAGTCCTACTGGAGTACTTAAGTCCTACTGGAGTACTTAAGTCCTACTGGAGTACTTAAGTCCTACTGGAGTACATCCAGCTCATAAACACCATGTCATGTGCAGATATAGGTTTGAATTAATCTTGAATTGTTTTTCAAATGGTTGACAGCACACATTTGCACAAGATGGCTATGACTTTTGCACACTGTTAATCCATGAGTTGAACATGCAAATCATATTTTAGACAACACTATAAACCAACTAAAAGAGATGTGTAGATGAAAGCCAAATAGGTACTAAAAGAAAGATCCAGTTGATCCAGTATCTTCCAAACAAGCACCATCGTAAATGGATAGTACCGTACAACTTTATACGGTTTGTGATTCTGTATCAGCCTGTTTTTATTTTTCATCTACCGGTTCAAGGCCAAGCAGCTATGATCAAGGGCTTGCTCACAGAGTTGAATGAGATTACTCAGATTGGGCTCATATTTAAGGAGGGCGTACCACCTGTTTGTAGACGTCTTTTTCCACAAGTATGCCACTCGTGCATGAGTTAGCCAATCATCGCACACATACAACTGGAACTAACGGCCACAACAGAAAAGAACTGACAAAAAGTTTGAAAGTCAAAATGCAACCTGGGCAGATCATTACATACGGGCACGACGAAACACTGACAACAGCATACAGAGGGAAGAAGGTCCAAAAAACACTCTGTGTTGCTAATATCAACAAAGAGCAAACCAGTTACAAGAGAAATGGCGGTGAGGCATACCATAATGCAAAGGCTTACCACATATTGCAAACAAACAAAAACAAAGTGATTTTTAGATAACACAAACATTTGGGTGGGATTTATCAGACTGACATATTTTTATCTGGATGAAAGAAAAACCATCAAGTACAGGAAGAAGGTTAAATTCAGCATTGTTTGACGCATGCTGTTCAGTGCCTATGTTCTATACAAATAACACTTAACAGGAAAAGTTACGAAAAGATGTAAATGTAACCCTTCCGTCATTGAAGCACTTTGAAATGAACATATATAAAATAAAGATGGTAGCCTACAGAAGTTGCCACAGGAGCAGGTGTGTGTGCCCTGTGCCCAACAATGGTGTAAGGGACTGCTGCATCTGTATCAACCAAAAAAATAGTCAGAGGCAGGAAAACAAGTAAAACCATGTGCCAAAGGTTTCTGAATGTCCTCCATGAGCCTTGGCTCCCAAAACACAAGTGTTAGCACTTATTCAGGCATCATCCATCCAAAAATTCACCCAAATTTTAAGAGTCATGTTTATTTTAAGTCTAACAAAAAGTACATGCATAAATTATGCAAATTAAATAGCTCAATTGAATAAATTTTTTGATTTCAAATTGATTCATAAAGAGTGTATTAGTTCAATTAATTTCCTACAAGAATATATAATATGTTAAGTTATTAGTTTAATTTTTAAATAATTTTTTTTGCAATAAAGTGTTAGTATGTCTTCTTGGCACTGAAACTCCAAATTAGGCCCTATTTCCAAAGAGGTTGAATTTTTAAAATTATTTCCAGTGGGAAGGTATTACTTCAAAATCTTCTGCCTTTTACCTGCACTCTCTTTGGTTATACCATGCAAGTCAACTCCAAAAGAAAAAAATGGCTGATGGAATAATTAAGACAGTCTGACTTTAAACTAAATATATTTCCTGAGGGACTGTTGGTGCCAAGTGGATGATCCATTTGGGTCTGCATGGAAATTGGGATATTACTTGGGGGAAAGATAAGGCTGCACACAAAAAATACTCACCCAAGCTTTGTAGTTTTGCTTGAGAGACTTTGAGCTAGATCACACGTCATCTTTAGTAGATATTTTGATGCTTGCTATATTGCTTTAAATTCTGGGTTATGCTCTTCTACATAACTTGAACATGTTATTGTGTATCAAAGAATTTTTTAGCCTTTTGTAACGCAATGTGCACAATAATTGATTTTGTGTGGACAATTATTCCTTCTTGCTTTTTGTCTCTCCCTGTGGAAACATGAGCTGATTAGCTCTTGTTGCATTGAATGGTTAGTGGAAACATTATCTGGTTTGCTCTTGTAGTATTGAATAGCATGCTGGGTGGCCGAGCGATTTAAACTGACTCATACCCAATAGCTGGAGGTCTGGAGTTCAGCCCCGCACCAAAGCCAACTTCCCACGCACCCCGGGTGGATGTGACTTGCTACTCATCTAAGAGAAGGCAAACTATGAATTCAACACAGGAGCCAGAATGATCAAATATAATAAGTTTGTGGAAACAATCTTGTTAGCTCTTGTTGCAATGAATAGTTAATCCATTTTTCTATTCCTGGGTATCTACCACTCACCCTCTCACAGATCCCATATTATGATATATTGTAATATGAAGCCTCAATCTCTTTTCTTGGTTTTCCCCACTCACTCTACCACTGAACCATCTGTAGATATGTAGATTTCAGAGGGGTGCTTAACATTTTAGCTGAATAAATCGAATGTCACTTTCAAACAGATTTTGCTGTGCAGTGTTTAATTTGAATGAAAGGTAGATAATGTTGTAACTAGTTTGATGAATTATATTAAGTTAATATGCATTACCCTTAAATAGTGTGAACCTTTATATTATTTACCCATATAGTGTGAAGAGAGGCTATAGTGGACCCTATTAATTACCCTTATCGTATACTGTAATGAGAGTTTATAGTGGATGACCCTATTAATTACCCTTAGCTTATATTATGTGAAAAGAATTTACAGTACACAGCTATATTTTGTAAACCATTTAAAAGTGACTTATGAAATATGCAAACCATTTTTGCCTGAACGGATGAGTTGGATATAATTATTTGACAGTAATTTTTAAAAACTGTATTAAAAATATTTGCCTGTATTCCTTAAATATTCACCAAAAATCTCATCATATCTTTAACATTTTAAGATCTATAAAGATGGCAAGCCTTCACACGTTGTTAATGGCAGTGACCCGAGTGACTCTAATTGGATGAGATTTGTCAACTGTGCTAGGCATGAAGACGAGCAGTGTGTAACTGCCTACCAACATGGAGGAGAAATCTATTACAGAACTCATAAGGATGTTCATCCTGGCACAGAAATACTGGTGAGACATTGAACCAACACTGTTACTGTGGCTGTTTATTGAAACAGCTTGCATTAGCTTTAGGGTCATATTTACTAACCAAGCAATTATCAGTTTTGAATGCATAGATTATTAGATAAGGGGCCATCAATATAATATGTATGCAGTGAGTTTGGGCAGCAGTTGTTGATTTTGATGTTGGGTATGGCCGGATGGATGTCTCAACAGAAAGTATGTAAATTTACTCAAACATTTTGTATTAATGATTCTGCATTAATGATCCATAAATTCTGACAGTCAATTTAATACAGTGATTCTCAAACCTTTTTTGTCCACATCCTCCCTTGAGGTCCTAAACATATCCTTATCATCCACCTATCTTAACCCATTAAAAGAATGTCCGAATATTTGTTTTGTTCAAGACTTTAAAGGGAAAATTATAAAATCACAAAATCACACATTATTATTATTATTTATTTCAACAATTTACAAATAAAGTTGATTAGCTTCCAACGATAATACGACCCCCACTTTTAAAGTAGGATAATTATAAATAAAGAATTTTATAGATGACATAATATTGGTTACTAACTTTCCTCACTGTTCAAATGCTCTTAATGCTTTAATAGGCTTCCTGAAGTGATATCAGTGTGTCTTTGAAAACATATTAGCTAGACTTTTAAATGGCCTGGTTCAGTAATCTGGATCCTATTTCTTTCCTTGGAAAAAAACTGAACAACACCATTAAGACCAAGTTCCAACAACTATGATGTTGTAAAACAACAAGAAGTCTCTCAACAACTTTTCAGAGTGCAGGACATTGATTTGAAATTTCTTTTAGCAGCCGAAACTCTTAGTATGAGCTTCTGAAATTTGAAGCTTAATTAAATCTCTTCACTTGTCTCACTGTCCAAAAAATGGACTTATCAAACAAAATGGAATGTTAATCAAAAGTAGCTTAGACAATGTCTTTATGTGGAATATCTAAATTGCCAAAAACCACTTCAACATCATTATCTGGTATCCCACCTTTCTCTTCTAGTCCGGACATGTTTGGAAATCGGAATAACTAAAAATGGCCAACAATGCATTTGAATAGAATCAATTAAGATACAAATGTAGAGATAATTGAATTGGTTTTGATGAGTTTATTCTTATTTTATTGCAACTGTCAAGTTATTTGATTACATTTGGCAAATTTATCTGATGAATAATCAGTGCTCTTTTTATATGGTAGTGATCAACAAGATTTTTAGCAAGCAGATGTTGGCAATTAATGACACAATGAATAGTAAAGAAATTTGGCGCAGCTTTTTAAAAAAAAAAAAAAAGCAAACCCAGGGTAGTAACCAGTCATTGATGGTGCTCCAGCATTTGTAACCTGTCATTGATGGTGCTCCATCATTTGTAACCTGTCATTGATGGTGCTCCATCATTTGTAAGCAGTCATTGATGGTGCTCCAGCATTTGTAACCAGTCATTGATGGTGCTCCATCATTTGTAACCAGTCATTGATGGTGCTCTATCATTTGTAACCAGTCATTGATGGTGCTCCATCATTTGTAACCAGTCATTGATGGTGCTCCATCATTTGTAACCAGTCATTGATGGTGCTCCAGCATTTGTAACCAGTCATTGATGGTGCTCCATCATTTGTAACCAGTCATTGATGGTGCTCCATCATTTGTAACCAGTCATTGATGGTGCTCCATCATTTGTAACCAGTCATTGATGGTGCTCCAGCATTTGTAACCAGTCATTGATGGTGCTCCATCATTTGTAACCAGTCATTGATGGTGCTCCATCATTTGTAACCAGTCATTGATGGTGCTCCATCATTTGTAACCAGTCATTGATGGTGCTCCATCATTTGTAACCAGTCATTGATGGTGCTCCATCATTTGTAACCAGTCATTGATGGTGCTCCATCATTTGTAACCAGTCATTGATGGTGCTCTATCATTTGTAACCAGTCATTGATGGTGCTCCATCATTTGTAACCAGTCATTGATGGTGCTCCATCATTTGTAACCAGTCATTGATGGTGCTCTATCATTTGTAACCAGTCATTGATGGTGCTCCAGCATTTGTAACCAGTCATTGATGGTGCTCCATCATTTGTAACCAGTCATTGATGGTGCTCCATCATTTGTAACTAGTCATTGATGGTGCTCCATCATTTGTAACTAGTCATTGATGGTGCTCCATCATTTGTAACCAGTCATTGATGGTGCTCCAGCATTTGTAACCAGTCATTGATGGTGCTCCAGCATTTGTAACTAGTCATTGATGGTGCTCCAGCATTTGTAACTAGTCATTGATGGTGCTCCAGCATTTGTAACCAGTCATTGATGGTGCTCCAGCATTTGTAACTAGTCATTGATGGTGCTCCATCATTTGTAACCAGTCATTGATGGTGCTCCAGCATTTGTAACCAGTCATTGATGGTGCTCCAGCATTTGTAACTAGTCATTGATGGTGCTCCATAATTTGTAACCAGTCATTGATGGTGCTCCATCATTTGTAACCAGTCATTGATGGTGCTCCATCATTTGTAACCAGTCATTGATGGTTCTTCATCAGTTGCCCTAGCAAGCATGTTATTTTGGAGAATTTACTTGTCATTGAAGAATTGCTCAGCAGTATGAAATATTGACTCCCCTTTTGGTATCTCTTCTTTCTGTCTCGCATATAATAATACTTGTTAAATCAAAGTCATCTCAACCAGTTGCAATGCAAATTCTGTTGACATTAGCGTACTACACAAAGCATTTCCAGTTTTATTATTCTTAGCCATTTTATTTATAGATCTTTGGACTGAACTGTACCATCTTAATTATGTAGTTTGGTGACTATGTGGGTCTCTTTTGAAGATTGTAACTCTCATTCTGGTATCCAGGATGAAATCAACTCGATTAAAAGTATGTCAGAAACTGAATTAAACTGTATAAGATGCTTTTTAAAATAAAATAATTGCTTAGTTGTTTTGATCTTTTATGGAATTGAAAATGGTATTAAGGTTACTCAAGAGGTTGGTCACTTGTTACTATTTGCCTCATTTCCCCCTACTTAGCCCAAGGTACAGATAAGCAGCTAATACTATGTTTGATCTTTGCGTTAAATGCATTTTGTATTCATAACAGGTCACAAATAGTTTGTAACAAGGGGTTGTTCAGTTAAAAAACAATTGGAATTATTAATAAAAAACATATGCTATTATGAATATGTCTTACTAGGTTGAATTTGGAGTAAAAATTATACACCTTGTAATATAAAATAAAAGTAGTTCATTTCCAAGAATCAACCCTATTTAAAGGCCTTTTTAGTTGTTCAATATAACGTGGTAAGGGTCACTTTGATTTTATATAAATGTGGTCGTGACTTCAAAACACTTAAGGTCATCAGTACTAGAGCTGCTGGTTAATAATTCAGCGCAGTTAACTAGTTTTAAAAAGTCATGGCATACAGCGATAATTTGTGAAAATCTGCGACATGGTAATATATTGTTCTAAGATAAGAAAATTGTCACTGCAGCAGAGAAATCCCACTTGACAAATTGAATTCTGGGGGTTGCCAAACAAAGGGTCCTAAACAAAGGCTGAAGATAAGTATCTCCTGGCGAGATGCTCAAAATGCCTTTCTCAGTGTGAAATCTTGGGCTAGAGAGGCCTAATTAGATGCATTATATGTATATCTAGAGGATTTAGCATGTGTTGTGTTTGATTAAAATTTAGTTTTAGCAACAAAGAATTGTATTTTTAATCAAAGTATTGATTTACCAACCACAGCTTAGGCTCTAACCTATAAAAATGCTATTATACTATAATGCTTAGAAAATAATCAGATGAATATGGAATAAGAGGGTAAAGAAGAGCTTCAGTCTTCTTTGTTAAGAAGTTCTGAGAAATTGACTTATTTGTTCTCTAAACTTAATAAGATGTATTTTTTATATATTGATGTCAGGTATATAATGGTGACAAATTATTTATTCAATGTATTTATACTGTTATCAGGTATACTATGGGGACAGTTATGCTAAAGAGTTAGGAATAGACATGCAGGTTGTTGGCAAAGTAAGCAGAATATCCTCATCAAAGCCTTCAGAACCTCCAAATGTTAATGACTTCATCATTCCAACAAGCAATGGTTGCGTGCTTGATCCTAGTCAAGATGACAGAGATGGTAGTCCATCAGGAATAGTTGAGGGTATGCTTATATTTTTTATAATTTATAGTACTTGTACTAGATATTCTTTACATTTGGTAAAAATATGGAATAATGCTTGTTTGTCTTCAATATATAAAGAATATTGATTTCCGATTTTGTCATTTATAATTATTTTCTTATAGAAACTAAGTCATATAATTGAGTAATACATGAAATGACATTTGTTTTTCATGACTAGGGTTCAATTCACTTTTAGTTTTGTCCTTTTAATCAAATTGATTAACAGTTGTTACTTTAAATGAAAGAACTAATTAACTACTCTATCATTGTCTGATGTATTACAGATATTTTCAAGTGCAAATTTTGTACCATTGCATTCTCACATCAAATATACCTTGAGAATCACTTGAGAAGAAAACACAATGATGACTATTGGAAAATAAAGCTGGTGGATGTATTGAGAGAAAAAACTGACGAAGCTAATGGTGTGGAAAAATATCCATTGCAAAGAATTCTGAAGAAGAAAGAAACTTCTCATGTGAGAGTCAGACAACTAAAACAGAAAAAAACATCTACAGGAGAAAAACCTGTCAACTGTGATGTCTGTGGGAAAGGTTTTACAAAAAGTAGTCATCTAAATCAACACAAAAGCAAACATTCAGGAGAAAAACCTTTCAAATGTGATGTCTGTGGGAAAGATTTTACACAAAATATTAGTCTAACTCTACACAAAAGGACACATTCAGGAGAAAAACCTTTCAAATGTGATGTCTGTGGGAAAGGTTTTACACAAAATGGTAATCTAACTCGACACAAAAGGACACATTCAGGAGAAAAACCTTTCAAATGTGATGTCTGTGGGAAAGGTTTTACAAGTGGTGATCTAACTCAACACAAAAGGACACATTCAGGAGAAAAACCTTTCAAATGTGATGTCTGTGGGAAAGGTTTTACACAAAATATTAGTCTAACTCTACACAAAAAGACACATTCAGGAGAAAAACCTTTCAAATGTGATGTCTGTGGGAAAGGTTTTACAAGGGGTAGTGATCTAACTGTCCACAAAAGGACACATTCAGAAGAAAAACCTTTCAAATGTGATGTCTGTGGGAAAGGTTTTAAAATATCTAGTAATCTAACTCAACACAAAAGAACACATTCAGGAGAAAAACCTTTCAAATGTGATGTCTGTGGGAAAGGTTTTACACAAAATATTAGTCTAACTCTACACAAAAAGACACATTCAGGAGAAAAAACTTTCAAATGTGATGTCTGTGGGAAAGGTTTTACAAGGGGTAGTGATCTAACTGTCCACAAAAGGACACATTCAGAAGAAAAACCTTTCAAATTTGATTCTGTTGAATAGCTTTGAAACAAACTGTAACAATAAATCATAACTAGTCACAAAGGGACAAAACAACTTACTTTTCATTTCAACAAGACTAAGGCTTGCATATTTTTTTAAGACCAAGAATCTGGGTTTATACTTTTGATGCAACACATTTATAAATATTAAATAATGCTGCATAAATTAATTTTCTATAATGTCCTAGCCCTCTTTATAGTGTCATGTGAAATTTAGCCTGAGATAACCTAGTTATAATCTGTATTGTATGACAGTTCCTACCCTCAATGTAAAATACATTAGAACATTAAAACACTTGATTTCAGTATTCTCTTTTATCACCTTATTTGTTTCATGGTAAAACTTTGACTTTTCTATCTGTTTTAAGTTGATGTATAGACAAATTTATATATTTTATTAATTATTATCAGATATTGGCTGTACAAAAGCCTACTTGAAAATATTCTTTGTATTTCTTATGTGCATAGCACATGAAAGATCATCATCTATATCAGTAGACCATCTCTTTATTGATGAAATCATCCCTTTTCCTTTGCATGTTGTTACGATATTCTTAAGACTTCACATGTTAGGATCTTCCTCCTTACACTTTAACAAACCCTCAGTAGGTATGTTTCTTGACCGGGCAGTAGACTCAACGTTATCTACATATAGTGGTGATCTAACTGTACACAAAAGGACACATTCAGAAGAAAAACCTTTCAAATGTGATGTCTGTGGGAAAGGTTTTACACACATTGGTAATCTAACTAAACACAAAAGGACACATTCAGGAGAAAAACCTTTCAAATGTGATGTCCGTGGGAAATTTTTTACGCAAACTGGTAATTTAACTCTACACAAAAGGACACATTCATGTGAAAAAAAATGTTCAAATGTGATTTCAGTGGGAAAGGTTTTATAATAATTGGTAAACTATCCAGGCATGAAAAGAGACATTCAGGAGAAACACCTATCAAATGTGATTCTGTGGAAAAGCTTTGACACAAAATGTAACTATAACAATAACCCTTAAGTCAATCATTCACAAAAAACTTACTTTTACATTTGAACAAGCCTATTACTTGCATGTTAAAAACATTTCACATCTTGTTTTTTTCAAGAGCAGGCATCCGGCTTATACTTTTTGTGACACCCTTATAAATATTAATACTGCATAAATTAATTTTCTATAATGTTCCAGCCCTATTTATAGTATAGTGTCTTGTGAAATTAAGCCTGAGATAACCTAGTTATAATCTGTATTGTATTCCAGTTCCTACCCTCAATGTTGAATGCAAGGAAAATAAAACAGTTGATTTCAGTGTTCTCTCTTATCCCTTTTTTAAATATTTTTTTACCTCGGACGTTGCTGTTTGTTGTATAGTTTAGGTAGATGTTCGGACATTTTTATATAAATTTAATTAATTGTTATCAATTATTGACTATGCAATAGACCCACTTGAAAATATTCTTTGTATTTCTTATGTGCACAGCACGCGAAAGATCACTGTCTACATCAGTAGACCATCTCTCTATTGATGAAATCATCACCTCTGCTTTGCCAGTGAAATACATATTGTTTTAATTTCTCCTAATTAAAAGTGCTTTGCATGACAAAATTGATCAGTTATTTCCATTCTTCTGCATCTGGGTGTTATTAAGGGCATGGACTATGTTAAAAGGGATCAACACAGGGCGTGCTTGAAAAGAGAAAAAAAATTTAAATTTAACATTGCTTAATAATTAATAGGGACTGTTTATAAAGGACGGCCGCATAAGCTTTTAATATATATTATTTATACATTTCTTTTTTTATAATGTATATTATATATCTATATGAAAGGGAAAATGTGTTTGTTTGTTCGGCAAACGTCGCTTCATGGATTTACTGATCTTGCCCGAAATTGGACAACATATCCAGCATTATCCACAATGGATTAACATTCTTTGGAGGGTTTCGAACTTAAAAAAAATATTCGGGTTTTTCTTAAATGAGCTATAAAAAAAAACAAGTTATCAACTGCATGAATGGATGGCACTAGACCAAACTTTTATACACATAATGATGGAACTTTTTTTAAAAGTTCATAGCCCCCCCCCCCCCCCCCCCCCTTAAAAAGTAAAATTTTTTTAAAAATGTAAAAGCCCCCCCCCCCCCCCATTACTTGATTCTGGATGAAGATGGAGTTGTGCTGAGTTGGTCAAGATTAATCATCCACGTAGAAGCAAATCCACAAACAAATTTTCACTTTTTATGTATATAAAAGCACTCATTAAGGTCTAATTTTTGTGCACTTTCAACATTTGCTCAATAATAATTGATTAATATTGGCAATGATTTCATATTCATTGCACCCGGCCTCAAATTTAAGAGTAAAACTACGATCTAACGAATACCAGAGGTCAGCAAACATTCAGACTAATGTACCATTTCAGGCGGGTCAAGAAGGTACACTATGCCAGATAACACCAGGTGCACAAGGAAAAATTGTATAATTTAAAATAAAAAAATATGATGCGATAAATGTGAAACGTAATGTTGCATGCTCTTAGAGACAATCACCTCAGGTTCCAATGATGAGTTCAGCAACAGAATGACATTACAGTGATGGTGGGTGAGCTGACAGCACATATTTTTCTGACAAATACAAAACTTCATCTTAGACAGCGTCTAGCACGAACGAGTGCTGCTAAACATTACCATCACACCCCTGGCACGGGCCAACACCATTGGACATTGATCACGTGGTAGCTGACCCAAGAAGAGTGGTGCAAGAAGTAAACTTTGACAAGAGAGCATCTGAAACATGCAGCTTAAATCAACTCCAAATACAGATCAGAGTGTGTGAGGGGGGGGGGGGTGGTGGTGTCGTCGCAAGTAAAGTCAGAAACAGTGTTGACGATCTTGTACTCTTGCGAATGAAAATAACGCACCTTAGAGAAGTGCAACGAGAATTCATTCAGCAGTGCTACAGCACACTGATGTACTCTACAACACACACGCATTCTACAGCACACCGATGCATTCTACAGCACACTAATGCATTCTACAGCACACTAATGCATTCTACAGCACACTGATACATTCTACAGCACACTGATGCCTTCTAAAACACACCGATGCCCTCTACTACACACTAATGCATTCTAAAGCCCACTGGTACATTCTTCAGTGTGGTGAGTGACATGAACACAGTCGCACTTATACTCATAAAATCAGCTTTGCTTCGAGTGAAATGAACACAGTCGCACTTATACTCATAAAATCAGCTTTGCTTCGAGTGAAATGAACACAGTCGCACTTATACTCATAAAATCAGCTTTGCTTCGAGTGAAATGAACACAGTCGCACTTATACTCATAAAATCAGCTTTGATTCGAGTGAAATGAACACAGTCGCACATATACTCATAAAATCAGCTATGCTTCGAGTGAAATGAACACAGTCGCACTTATACTCATAAAATCAGCTTTGCTTCGAGTGAAATGAACACAGTCGCACATATACTCATAAAATCAGCTTTGCTTCCAGTGAAATGAACACAGTCGCACATATACTCATAAAAT